GCGGTAGAACCGCGGTGGAACTTGTACCCGGAAACTTTGGCCTGTTTTGAATGGGATACTTGGAAAATTCAACAATTGGCCTTTTTTCATCAATAGTTGACTCCAAAACCGCTCCTTAGCCTTCCTTACACCTATATCACCTGCAAATCATGAAAAACACTAATAAGAGCATTTTGTTGTCATTTTTCCACATTAAAAGTTCACAAGAAGGTGATTATTTGGTGCGTGATTATAGTCAAATTCACCTATTATCAGCTACTTTGTTTTTTCATGAGAATTGAAACGATTAAAACGGTTATTTTATTTCTAATTTGAAGACCTATGAAAGAATCATGATATTTAGCATGCTTTTGTTTATGGTATTTAGTTGCTTATGTTTATAACATATGGTAATTTTATGATTTTTCTATATGTATATAGATTCTATCTATATATGTACAATGTATTATTTTATTGTTGTAAAAGGATTACAAATGAAACGAAGAAAAAAAATTGGAGCCCTTTTGGATTAGCTAATTGTAAATAGCTGATAAGTTTGAATTACTGAAAAATATCTTTAAGTGTTGAACCTGATTTTTTAAATAAGTATTTATGTATTTGGATAGACATGCTGAAATTGATAATAAACAGTTGATGTGTTTGGTAGAAAAAGTGCTGATAAGTTATCTTTTATTAAAATGACCAAAATATCCTTAAAAGTTTTACAAAAGATTATGAATTTAAAAGTTTCTTTGTAATGAAAAGGATGAACAACGAATATGGAACGAAGAGAAAGTTAGGAAATTTATTTTGGAAAAAATATTTTATGAATTAAAAAATATTATTAAGGATAAACTAGTAAAAACCTCGATCAAACTAAAAGTGCTTATAAGCTGAAAAGGCATAAGTTGGGGGTGACCAACTTATGACTGCTTTTAGCTTGTAACACTTTGGATGTTTACCAAATGCGTAGATAAGCCAAAAGGTGCTTATAAGCCAGTTTGACCAGCTTATAAGTGTAGCCAAACACCCTCTTAGTTTCTTTCTTTATGATTTTTATAATTGGAAAGAAAATTCTAGTGTAGATCTTCTTAAGGTGAAAAACGGGTTTATGGTGGGTAGCCATTTTTTCAATTGGGTGAAATTGTTGGGTTATTTTTGGCCCGATAGGTCGACGGAAGGTATATTTAACCCTTCAGTAATAGTTTAGAGGATAGTTTTGGCCCTTTTCTATTTACTTAAGTGGATTAGACCAGTAATAAAATAATACGTGGAATTTAAATAAAAAAAATTTAATTCAAGTTGACCGTTAGTCATTAGGACAGAAATTTAAATTTTTGGACCAATAAATGGACCAGTATATTAGCCCTTAGCGAATAGTTTAGAGAGTTTTGACCCTTTTCCGTTATATTTAAAACGTCTCACCTTGTGTCTTCCCTTCTATACATCTGTCAAATTTTGATTTGCTGCTAATGAATAACCAATGAAACAGGTACTTCACGCCAGCAGTACCTATTTTAAGGAGGAGATTTTCTCGCATACAAAGGGTTGAGTGTTCATTCTTTGCTGGAACTATCAACAACATAACGTGTTCCACTACTTCTAAAGGTGCAGACGAGCTTTCGCTCAATCAATCTCAACTTTCAAGGTAATGTATTTCATCTCTTTACTCATCCTCTTCTCAGAAGCATTTCAATTAGAGGGTGTTTGGCTAAGCTTATAAGCTGGTCAAACTGGCTTAAAAGTACTTTTTGGCTTATCTACGTGTTTGGTAAAATTAAAAGTGCTTATAAGCCAAAAGCCATAAGTTGGTCTTCCCCAACTTATCAAATTTCAGCTTACAAGCACTTTAGGTTTGACCACAATATTTATTATTCTATCCCTAAAATACTTCTTTTTAAAACAAAACTCTTCGTATACGCAGTTCTTCAACTGCTTATTATTAATTTCAGCACTTTTATCCAAACACGTAACTGCTTATTTTTTAAATCAGCTTCAGCACTTTAAAGTGCTTTTCAGCACCTAATGCTTATCAGTTACTCTAAATCAGCTAACCCAAACGGGCTCTTAATGAAGTTTGCGATAACTGTTTATTTCCTAAAAATTCTCGTATCATGTGGTGGATTTCTGTTTCGTTGGGCTAACTAAGCCCAAAGATACTGTATAATATTGTTGGGAATCTTACGGAAATGTATAAGTCATAATTTACCAACCTCTAACTATTAATCATAGACATACCAAAACTAGCTAAAGATATACAAAAATTGAAAACCCAAATAAATAAGGATCTTTATCTCCAATAATCACACGCAAATATCTCTTTATATATATATATATATATATATATCCTCAACAATACGGGACCCTTTTCAATGGGTATGATTTAAATTCATTGAAAACATATAGATGAGTCAATATACATTATTTGAGAAAGATTAGAGGCCATTTGGTATTAAAATTCGTAGTTAAAATCGAGTTCAAAAAATTCTTTCGCGACACATGTATTAAACAAGTATAACGCATGTATCTCACACACATGTATACATGGATATACATTTGATACATATGTGATAAATAAATAATACAGAATGTGATACACATATCATCTTTTTCCATTTTCATCTTCTAGTTCGAATTTTCAATTCAAAACTCTACCAAATCATTTCAAAACTGAAATTTAAACTCCCCAAATTGCAGAGCCATATCTCCTTCTAATTTGACTTTGTTTGGCTAAAAATAGCTAATTGGCTAATATTGGTACTCCCTCCGTTTCAATTTATGTGAACCTATTTGACTGGGCACGAAGTTTAAGAAAAAATGAAGACTTTTAAAATTTGTGGTCCTAAACAAAGCAAAAAGGGGCCCAGAGTATTTGTGTGGTTATAAAAGCTTCTCATTAAGGGTAGAATTGTAAGTTTAAGCTAAATTGTTACCAAATTTAGAAAGGGGTCATTCTTTTTGGAACGGACCAAAAAGGAAATAGGTTCACATAAACTGGAACAGAGGGAGTAAATTTTATGACTTTGCTAATTTTTGTACTAACTTACTTATGGTCTTTCATAACTGGTAATTTTCCAATATTGTTTGTTTTGGGTCAATCCATACGGTTGCCCAAAAAGTCTCATACAGTTAAGAGTATCACTACACTTTTATTTTGCACGCCCAACTATCCCTCCCTTAAACTAAGTTCCACATGACGTACCCATCACCATGATTCTTAGGCTTATCCGGAGATGCAATGTGTGTCACCCACATTATTCGGGTATTTGTGGCTACCATATTTATGCATCTCCAAAGGCATTAAGTCGAGCCCCACGCCATCACCCCGTCATCTACATACTCGTTTGTGTGAACCATTAGTTCTAATATTACTTATTGGGCTAAAGCAGGCTGCTAACCCAAAGATACTTTTATGGTGTGATATTGTTTCCTTTGGCCAAACTGTTTTCCCCTACAGGCCTCGCAGAAGAGTATCCCTACAATATATCAATTTCTTAATGTTGATATCTGATTTTGATACTCCCTTGCACAAATTAGATACCAAATCAGGTTAGAGCCTGTTTGGCCAAGCTGCCAAAATCTGCTTATTTTGAAAAGTACTATTTTTCAGAAGTACTTATTTTAAAAGTACTTTTGAAAAAAAAATGTTTGTGTTTGGCCAACTCATTTAAGAAGTACTTTTTGCAACATTTGGTAAATAATTTGTATTTGACCAATCATTTCAGAAAGTGCTTTTGAGTGTCAAATTACCAAAAAGGATAGTACCAAGGTCGTATAATTCTTTAAAATATAAAAATGAACTTAAATATTTATCGTAAGAGACTTTTATTATTTTTTTATTTTATTTAATTAAAATATAAAACATAAAGTAAACAAATATATTAAAGATTTAAATCAAATTTACATATATAGTTATACTAAAGTATACGATATTATCCAGTATAATTACTTATTTTTATATGATGATTTGAATAATTAAAATAACATCATTAAGTATAAATTAGAAGTCTATCCACAAATTACTATATATTGATAATACATCATGAAATAATATGTAAAGTCACTCACACATGATAATACTTCTCAACAGTTTCATCTCTACTTCTATCAAAAAACGCTTCCATATTAGTAGAAGACTTGCCTCGCATTTCTAAAGGAATATCAGAAGGCTGATTAATAGTTGAATTCTTTATCGGTAAAAGAATATTATCGGATGAAATTATGTATAGCCATGGTAGTTGTAACTAGATGATTTTGAGTGTCAAACTTGAAAGATGGCATTGAGCGTAAAATAAAAATAATTTTAAATATATAAAAAAAAATTGTAAAAAAAATTGTTAAGTATGTTTAAGTAATTCAAAAAGAGTAACTAATTATTAACAACACATAATGTATAATTTATTTATTTTTAAAAATTTAAATTCAAAAAGAAACTAATTATTACCTAACCTTACTAACTTTGTCCTAAAATGCCAAGTGGCCTATTGTGAGGCTGCCACTTGACTAAATATGGATGCATTTTCCTCTTCTTTTAATAATATATAGATAGATTATGTAATGCAATTGTAAATTTATTACCTATTAGTAGGTCATTTTCACAAATCAGATTTGATAACTGTTTTAAAGATTCAGAAACTAATAGCATATGATAGAAGAAATTATAAATAATTATTTGTCGGAAGAGAATTGATTATCCAAAGAAGATGCAGATAATTTGCTTTAGTGTGAAAAAAGAAGAAGATAATTTTGAAAGTTACGAGACATTACACAAAGAAAAGATCAAAAACAAGAAAAGTCAATAAAAATTTTGATAAGTTACAATATGATTCATATATATGATATCTTTAATTTTAATAGGTTGGTAAAAACTAGAAACAAAAATGAAAAGAAAAAACTAAAATTAGTAAGGGATAATTTGAAAAATATAAATTTACGGTGAGGATAGTTTTGTCTTGAATAAATTAATTTTCTACTTCTGCTTCTGCTACTTGGAAGAAGCTAGAATTTTCTGCTTCTTCCCAAAAGCAGAAAAACTGCTTCTGCAGCTGGCAAAAAGTACTTTTTTGTATTGGCCAAACAACTTAATTTTTTTAAAAAGTACTTTTTTGGGGGAAAAAAAGTACTTTTGGCCTCGCAGAAGCTTGGCCAAATAGGCTCTTAGTCTGTGGTTGCGGATTTATTGTGTTTCTACTTTGCATCAGAAGGTCAGCCTCTTTTCTACGGCTAGGTGAATGAAGTACACTTTTGCACATTACATTGTATCTTAGCATATCGAGGAACCCCTAAAATTTAGATATAAACAGTAAGGTTGAAATTACGGCCAGAGATATCTATTGAAAATAGCAGATACAAGTAAAATGCTGCAAAGCTGAAATAGGGCTAGAAGTAGTTTTCTGAAAGTAAAGGATGTGCACTAGGCTAATCAATGCCAATATCTACAAATTGATCAAAATAAAATACCAGATGAAATTCCAACAGCCAAAACCTGTGGTCTATTGCACTATGTGAAGTAGATGATTTCTTTTGGTGGAGTGCTTATCCCTGCTCAGAGCTCTTATATTCTTCAGTTTCGTCTTTCTCTAGGGAATTTATCTTCTTTGGATCCTAAGAAGCCTATAGAGGGGGTTATGGAATTATAGTATTATCTTAGCTCCAATTGAGTTCTTTTTTGTCCATTTTCGTTGAACTCCTGGCCATTGGAGTATTTCTTTGCCATATCTTATTAATAAAATTCTTATTTTGGAAGAGCAGGCTCAAAATTATTTTAGATTGTTGTCACAGAACATCTTGCCTTACTATTTATCCGATGTACAGACTAGTTAACACTGGCTGCAAACTAGTAGGATGTGGCTCCGCAGTACCAAGTCTGAAAGTTTCCAATGATGATCTTGCAAAAATTGTTGACACTAATGACGAATGGATATCTGTAAGGACCGGGATTCGTAACCGTAGAGTTCTTTCAGGTGAATCTTCCTTTGATCTTGATGCATACTACCTATACAGGTTATCATGTTCTTCTCTTTGACAAAAGATTGTAATAGTAACATGATGTGTTAATATATCAGTCAACTGTTTAGTAATATTTGTTTCATTCTTCTCTCTGTCCATTATAAAGATCTTTCCTATTTCAATTTACTGCTTACATTTAAATTTTCTTCTAGTTAAAATTATGCTGACCTGTTAGCAAATGTTGTCTGTAACTAGAACACATTTCCATACGGCCGCAATCTGATATATGCTTGCGCAGGCAAAGAGAATTTAACAGGTCTGGCTATAGAGGCTTCAAGGAAAGCTCTAGGGATGGCAGAGGTTAATCCTAAAGATGTTGACCTAATTTTAATGTGTTCTTCAACTGGAGATGACCGTTTTGGCAGTGCTCCCCTGGTATGACTTGGTAAAGTAGCAATTTTTTCTATATCTTGGAGCAACAAAATTCACTAGTTTTTACCATAGATTAGTGTAGATTTTTGAAAAGAAGAAAAGGCTTCTTATATTTCTGTGTATTTCTTACATCCCTAAGCAATGGTAATTATACACTAAGTCGTATGACTATTTTAGGAAGGAAAATAAATTACAATCAATTGAATAAAATTACATATCAATCAGAATCAAATCATTCACAATCAAAATCAAATCTTTCATAATAATTAAGTCAATGAACACTCCCCCTCAAGTTGGTGCAAAGATGTTGCACATGCCTAACTTGCAAACCAGGGTATGAAAAATCCGTTTGTTGAGACCCTTGGTAAACATCAGCTAACTGTTTTTCTGATGGCACATGAAACAAACTCAAGACACTAGTTGTAATTTTTTCTTTGATGAGGTGTCGATCAATTTCCACATGCTTTATTCGGTCATGTTGTACTAGATTATGAACTATACTGATGGCAGCCTTATTGTCACAGTACAAGGAAAGTTTTCTATTTCTAGGTAGTCTCAATTCCTCTAGTAGCTTTTGTAGCCAAAGCAGTTCGCAACACCCTGGGCCATAGCTCTATATTCTGCCTCCGCACTTGATCTAGCAACTACGTTTTGCTTCTTGCTTCTCCAAATAACTAAGTTTCCTCCTACGAGCGTACAGTAACTGGATGTAGATCTTCTGTCATCCAGAGATCCAGCCCAATCCGCGTCTGTAAAGGCTTTTATTTGGAGGTGATCATGTTTGGAAAAAAGTAGACCTTTCCCTGGAGCAGACTTTAGATACTGCAAAATATGAAAGACAACTTGCATATGATGATCTCAGGGATCATGCATGATCTGACTCACCAGGCTATCTGAATAGGCTATGTCTGATATAGTGTAGGAGAGATAAATGAGTCTTCCAACCAACCTCTGATATCTCTCCTTATCAACCGACTCTCCAATTCCGCTTTGTAACTTGTGATTGCTTTCAACAAGCGATTCTGCAGGTATGCGACTTGTCATACCAGTTTCTTTCAAGAGATCCAGAACTTACTTCCCCTGAGAAATAAAGATTCCTCTTTTTGATCTAGCAACCTCAATTCCCAAGAAGTACTCCTAGATCCTTGATCTCAAAATCATGTGCCAACAACTTCTTCAATCGGGCCATCTCCTCTATGTCATCTCCTCTCATTACTATGTCATCAACATAAACTATGAGAAATGTGAGTTTACCCGTATGATGTCTTATGAAGAGGGTGTGATCAGCATTGCTTTGTTGGTTACCAAAGGAGATCATTGCTTTTCAGAATTTGTCAAACCAAGCTGTAGGAGATTGCTTCAGTCCGTATAAGGCTTTCTTTAATCTGCATACCTTTCCTTGACTTTGTGCAATATGAAATCCAGAAGGAATCTCCATATACACCTCTTCTTCTAAGTCTCCATGAAGAAATGCATTCTTCACATCAAATTGTTGCAAGTCCCAATCAAGATTAGCCGGACAAGACAAAAGAATTCTAATAGTGTTCATCTTAGCAACAAGGACAAATGTCTCTTGATAATCCACTCCATAAGTCTGAATGAATCCCTTGGTCACCAATCTTGCTTTGAATCTTTCAATCGAGCCATCAGCTTTATGCTTCACAGTGAAGACCCATTTGCAGCTAACCAACTTCTTGTCTGGTGGTGAAGTGACAAGTTCCCAAGTCTCATTTTTTGACAAGGCCTTCATTTCTTCAATCATAGCTTGCTTCCATTTAGGATCTGCAAAGGCTTCCCTCCAATTCTGGGAAATAAACACAGAAGAAATAGACAAGGCAAATGCTCTATAGGAGGGAGACAAAGAATTCTAGGAGACAAAATTAGATAAAGGGTGTTTGGTGGTGCAAGATCTGACTCCTTTTCTATGAGCAATAGGTTCATATAACTCATTAGGAAATGTAGATAACTCACCAGTAGAAGAAAGTTCAGCTTCGGTAGATTGCATGATGGCTTCTTCTGCTCTATTTTATCTTGAGTAAGTTTTCAAATTAGGCTATCCAAACGCCCAATAATCTCCCCTGAATTCTTTCTCCAATTTCACTTTCCCCTGTGACAATGTCATCAAAAGGTTTAGTAATGGAACTAGGTAGAATCACCTCTTCCTCCTTACTGCTCTCCCCCTGAAGAGGTAATGAGGTAATACTGAAATAGGGCTCATATTCTCGAAAAGTAACATCCATGCTAACAAAAGATCTCCTAGATGGAGGATGATGACATTTGTAATCTTTCTGTGTCGGAGAATACCCAATGAAAACACACTTTATAGCTCTAGGACCAAGTTTCCCAGAATTTCTAGTATGAACAAAGCAAACACACCCAAACACTTTTGGAGGAACAATATATTCATTCTTACCCTTTAAAGCTTCCAGAGGACTTTGAAAATTGAGGGTTTTAAGTGGCATTCTGTTGATAAGATAGGCAGCAACTAAAATAGCATGCCCCAAATAAGGTTTTGGTGGATTGATGGTGAACATAAGAGATCGTGCTACTTCTAACAAATGCTTATTTTTTTTTAGCGATCCCATTTTGTGCACTAGTGTAAGGATAACTAGTCTGTGGACTATCCCATTTGACTTCAAATAAGCACCAAATCTTTTATCCATGTATTCGCTGCCATTGTCAGTTCTCAAGATTTTTGTTTTGGCATAAAATTTGGTACAAATCATCTTATGAGATCACCGAAAACAAGAGAAAACTTCACTTTGGGCTTTTAGCAAATAAACCCAAGTCCTCCTAGTGCAGCAATCAATGAAAGTTACAAACCATGGACTACCAGACAAAGAATAGTTTGTGTAGGACCCCATAAATCAGAATGAATAGTCATAAACGGCTATGTTGCTCCGACACGGAGGTTTAGGTGCCGCACCCGTGTCGACAAGACACTAGTATGGGTGTGGGTATGAGACCCGTACCGGATTTGATCAAACAATTTTGGGTACTTTGACCATGACGGACGGTAAAATTCGAGACGAGATACAATTTGATTCCAGAAATCAAAACCAAAACTGGGGAAGAAAATAGTTTACCGTATCTAGGAAATCAATCCTTTACTTATCTACAACTTGAGAATAAAAAAGAAATCCACACTTTACAAGCTATAAGTAAGTATTCCTAAAATATTTCTCATAATTTAGAGATATTTTTATATTTTTATTTTGTTGAATTATTTTTAGCCGGATCCCTGCACTCGTATCCGTACTAGGATCCGTATCAGCGAATCTTAGAATTTACATCTTGAAGGATCCGACCTCTAGATCCGCACCCGTGTCGGACACCCGCACCTGTGTCCGAGCAACTTAGATCAACGGAGTTGTGCTTCTATTATCACTCACAGGATAAGAGTTTCTAGTATGCTTGGCATATTCACACGCATCACAAAACAAAGATTCAAATTGAGTCCTTGAAAACAAATCGGGATATAACCTCTTCAAAACAAAGAATGTTGGGTGTCCTAACCGTCTATGCCGCTTTATTATTTCTTGGTTGACATCCTTACTTTCCCCAAAAAAACCTTGACCACTAGTTTTGAATTCTATCTAATATATATAAGTCATCATGCAATCTACCACTATCAATCCTTTTCCCTGTTTGAAGATCCTAAGAAATACAATGATCGGAAAAGAACTCGATTTTACAGTTTAGAGCTTTGGTGATGGCACTAACAGATAAAAGATTGACAGTGAGCAGCAAAGGCAGTACCTGATTGCACATAATTGGATGTGGCAACATTAGTGGAGTCAAGTTCGGCTAAGAGGCGACGAAGAAGTTGAATTTCATCCGAAGACAAGATTTCTCCAGAAATCGTTTTCTTGAATGTCTCCATATTTTCTGCCCAATCAGAAGGAAATCTAAAGAAAATTGCTCAAAAAATAATCTGCTTCGCTGGAAATCAAATCTGTCTCGATGTAACCAGAAGGGGTTTGTGTTGTGGACAGCCACCAAGAGAGAGAAAACTCGACCTCTTTGATAAAAAACGGAACCCTTGTGCTGCTCAAAAAGGTCGCAATGGCTCTGATACCATGTAGATTTTTGAGAAGAACAAAAGGCTTCTTATATTTCTGTGTATTTCTTACATCCCTACGCATAAGCTATGACTATTTTGAGAAGGAAAATAAATTTCAATCAATCAATCAGAATAAAATCAAATTTCAATCAGAATCAAATCTTTCTCAATTAGAATCAAATCTTTCCTAATAATTAAGTCAATCAACAATTAGCTATACTGAAATAGTTTTTTCCGTTTGGAGTGGTTTTGCTAATTTCAAGTAAAGCGTTGGGAAAGAATCTGCATTTGTGCTCACTTTTATTCATAGGGATAGTATGAAGTAACCAGAATAAAAACATGAAATGCATGTGCCATGGAGCTTTCGAGCTTAGAGGCCGTTTCTTCTTTTTTCTCACTTCTTGTTTCTCTATTTTGTCCTACAAAACACAACACACATCATTCACAGTATATAGTTTAATTCTCGTGGTGCATTTTCTAAGATTGGAGCTGATGTCCCGCTTGAAACAATTAAGTGCAACTCCTTGCAGAGATAAGATAAAACTTGTGCAAAGTAATCATTAACCCGATGAATAAGAACTAGCTGTTAGATAGTTATGTGTAAATAGTCCTATATGTGGTAGGAGTACAATATGTCTTAGTCCCATATGTAGTAGAAGTAAATGTGTCCTAGTCCCGTATGTAGTAGGAATAGAATATGTCTTAGTCCCATATGTAGTAGGAGTAGAATATGTATTATATAGGGCTCATTGTATCATTGTTAATAAATAGATTTTTCTCCCGTGCATTCTCACATGGTATCAGAGCTTCAATGAGAATTATCATTGTGTGTCATTCCAGCGACATCCGGGAAGAAAGATCTCATCGTCGTGCAATTTTCCGGCAACTTCGTCTTATTCCTAGGGTTCATCACTGCTACAGTGGTACTGCGCATATTAAACCAGTACTACCATCATATCTAAAACCCTTGTGCGACCAAACCCCAGAAATCCCAGTCCCATCGGAACAGAAAAGTCAGTCACTGTGCGTCTTTTCGGTTGACGACTCAAGATTAATTTGCGTTATCTCCTCATCGGTAAGAGTTGTGTGAAAACCAACACTACCATCTTGTTCGGAAAAGTCAGGCGACAAAACCCCAGTCAATCGCTCCGGCAGAAAGTCCCTCACGCGCCTCCAGCGCCGCCAGAACTAGGGTTTCGACGAGCTACAATAACTTTTCCGGCGCGTGTGAGCCATTCCGACCACTTTTTGACAACTTCTTCAGGACAACTTACTCGTCCAGTGATCCCGACCTACCCATATAAATTATATCAAATTCTGACAACTTTTATTTGTTCCGACGTGAACAGTTATTTTTCCGGCGTGAACAGTAATTTCCAAAAAAGTTTTTGTTTTTTGGTGGTGTTTTAGAACCTATTTTGTAGTGTGAAATTCGGCTTAGTCTCACTATTTTCAAATTCGGTGACTTTTCGGCCAACTTCTGTTTATTAGCAACCACCTGGTTTTGTTGCTTAGGGCTATGTCGAATGATCAGCTTGTAGATATTTTCACCAAGTCCCTTACTGGTCCTCGTATTAGTTACATATATAACAAGCTCGGTACATATGATTTGTATGCACCGGCTTGAGGGGAGTGTTAGATAGTTATGTGTAAATAGTGCTAGTCCCATATGTAGTAAGAGTAGAATATGTCCTAGTCCCATATGTAGTAGGAGTAGAATATGTCCTAGTCCCATATGTATAAGGAGTAGAATATATATTATATTTAGGGCTCATTGTATCATTGTCAATAAATAGATTTTTCTGCCGTGCATTCTCACACTGGCAAAGATTTTAACGTTTTACCAGATGTTAAGAACATGTTTCTTTTTTCATTTCTTGGTCTTGATATGAAAATTGAGCATCAAACGTGTTTCCCTCATAGTGTTATAAACAAAAGCAATGGAGAGTAGAGAATTCGATATAAGGTTGCTCTTCTTGGGGACTGATTGAACTTCTTTGGCCACAGCCCACATTGATCTTACTATCTGAAAACTAGATTATCACAGACTGCAATTTTGAAGTGAAATGCTTGGCTCATTTAATTGGTGAATGTTGCAAAACTGCCTGGTTTGCTGGTTAGACTGACTCGAAAGTGTTTCGTTGATGTTTAAATCATTATAGCTTTTCTTTCCTGAAAATTTGACTGGGGATACATTTACCTACTCAAGTTTTATTTCCTTTCTTGTCTTTATCTATTCTCTAGTTCTTTCATGGATTTTGAACTCACAGCTTTAACCATGCTTGCTTCAGAATTTATGGGTAACACTTGATCAGTTTCTGATACTTGTCTGTTGTTAGATCCAAAAAGCACTCGGCTGCAAAAGCAATCCATTGGCTTTTGATATTACAGCTGCTTGTAGCGGGTTCTTGCTGGGTTTGTTTTCTGCTACATGCTACATCAAAGGTACAATTTTGCCATCGATGAAGTTCTATGAAGTGTATAGTCATTCCTTTGTGGATATACCTATGTATTAGAAGTTGAATACGTAGCTAATGCGGCTGTTTTATTTGTTCCTGGATATGCTCTGGTAATATTTAGATTTCTGTTTCCTATTGCAGCTGGTGGTTTTAAGAATGTTCTTGTAATTGGGGCTGACGCAGTTTCTCGCTTTGTTGATTGGACGGATAGAGGTTCATGTATTCTCTTTGGGGATGCTGCTGGTGCTGTGCTTATGCAGGTATTGATAAACGAGTGTTTTTGAACGAATGGAAAACAGGGGGGCATACTTATTCTAGGTTTTCTTTCTTCAGGACGGACTATCTTAAAAATTTGTCATTTTTGTGACCTCGTGTCTTGTTCTGTTGTTGCCAACAAAAATTCTTGTCTAGCAATGCACATTTCTTATATCCATTTCTCAAAATTCACATTAACATTTTTCTTAGGCCTGTGATATTGGAGAAGATGGTTTGTTTGGTTTTGACTTGCATAGTGACGGTGATGGTAAAAGGTACGTATAGATTAGTCGTGTTACTACTGTGCTTTCATCGACACTAACTAGAGTGGTTTCCACCGTCAGGCACTTGATTGCTCCTTTTATAGAGAACGAAACAGAAGACGGATCAAGTACAAGTTTTCCACCCAAAGGTTCCTCTTATTCCTGCCTCAAGATGAATGGCATAGAGATCTTTAAGTTTGCTGTCCGTGTTGTCCCACAATCAATTGAGGCAGCTTTAGACAAGGCAGGTTTCAGTCGATCTAATTTGGATTGGTTGCTCCTCCATCAGGTATGATTTTGAGATAGATATTTAAGTCAAAAATGGATCCTGTTTTCTATACAACAAGCCACATGTCCCATTTTCAATTAGGTTTATTTGCTTTGTCAATCATTACTAGACTGCTCTTCGAGGCACACATGATAAAAGTCCTCGTAATGCCTCATATTCATGGATGAAACAGACCAAATTCTTTTCACATATGCATTGCCATCGAAAAAAGTATGTTGTTTTATTTTGTTCCAACTTTTTTCCTTTCATACTACAATGCTTTTCGGCCCTTCATCGTACTTTTGTTAATAACTAGTCTCTCCGCACGTGCGTTGTACATATATATCGAATCATGCAGTGCATGATCCTGTAAAATAATATCAATATTAATAAATTAATACTAAAGAAAAAAGTACAAGATTTTATGGATATAATCAATATGGATTGTCGTATGATGACTTATTTGTCGAAGACAAGGTGATCACATATCATATGATTCTGCAAAGATGAACATTCGAAGTTTAATTAGATACCAGGATTAGTCATGATTAATAATGCATAGATTAAAATGCAAAGATATAACTTATTGGATGTTTGATTAATTTGTTGTCTTCAAAATTAATATACATTGTACATAACTTAATAAGCCGAGGGTCTATCAGAAACAGCCTCTCTGCCCTATCGGGTAGGGGTAAGGTCTGCGTACACATTACCCTCCCCAGACCCCACCTGGTGGGATTTTACTGGGTAGTTGTTGTATTGTACATAACTTAATATATGTGTCTTTTTGTTTACAGTTTAGCCTTGACCTTCTTTAGCTTGGTATGTTTCCTTTTTTTAGCTTTAGTTATTATATTTGTTTTAAAAACATTTGATTTAATTTGGGTTTTCTCTCTTAATAAATTATGTTTCACTCAAGAGATAAGTTCATAAAGATCGTCAACCCTTAAATAATATCTAATGTAAATATCACACGTTCTCATGATTTTTAAAAGTGAAACATCTTTTAAGTATAGACACGATTCTCCCCAATAGTATATATATTTTCTACCATCCCATAAATTAAAAGTAAAGTTCCAGATGATCTTATGCATATAACCATAAAATATATGTTGTCAATTAATGGATTTCAGTTTAGCTATAGAATAATAAAGTTAATTATAGCATTAACTAATTCATTCCTAAACATAACAAAATGTATTTCAACATCATCGCAATTACTTACCCTAACATTCATGAAAGTTTGTTTTACAAGTGAAATTAAGAAAGTAGAACCTGAGTGCGTTACCATTTCTCTTTGAATTCAGTGCCCTGCGCTTTGATGTTGTGTTTCGCCATCTTCATAGTGAAAGTCGTTTGATCTCGTAAGGAAAACATTTCACACTTATTTTCTTCCGTCTTCAAAGAAATTTATGCCAAAATCTAAGATCTTGCATGTCCATTCACTCCACGAGATTGAATGGTACCACCATTGCATAAAAAAAGAAAAGAAAGGGCAACCAGGTGCACTAAGCTTCCACAATGCGCGGGGTCCGCGGAAGGGCTAGACCATAAGGATCTATCGTACGCAGCCTTATCCTACATTTTTGCAAAAGGTTGTTTTCACGATTGAACTCCTGATCACATGGCAGCAACTTTACCAGTTATGCCAAGGCTCCCTTCCATTGCATAAAAGAAGTTGTTTTAAATTTTAGATGCATTCCGAGAAAAGTTTGATTCTCAAGTTACACTCATATATGACACGTTATATCTAGACAATATTTTTCAGACTTGTAATCTCAAAGAAAAGAACAGTCTTTTTTATAGTGTTACCATAACACTTAGTAATAGGCATGCATGAATATACACTATGCCCGACAGTATATATAAAATAGGTTCAACGACAACCGCCACTAAAGTAGTGCTAAGCAGATTCCTTCCGCAACTATAGTACCAAAAGCAAAGGTTGTATTTTTCAGCAGGCAAAGTAGAGAGAATATGCTTTGGCTAATGGCCTAGTGCACCATATTGTTGAATCCCACTATAGAAGAATTTCTTATTATTTAATGACGGAAATACAGCTAAAGATAATTCAGTAAAGTTCTTAGTGCTCCTTGTAAGTTTCATGCATTAAATTTTACGCATGAGTATGAAGCCGAGAGAAGCTGCTTATAGGGTATGGCTATGTGCAGGCAAACCAAAGGATTATCGATGCTGTAGCAACACGGTTAGAGATGCCATCGGAGCGTGTCATCTCCAATTTGGCAAATTATGGAAATACCAGTGCTGCATCCATTCCCTTGGCATTGGATGAAGCTGTTCGGAGCGGGAAGGTGCAGGCAGGACACGTCATTGCTGCTGCTGGATTTGGGGCTGGCCTTACATGGGGTTCTGCAATACTCAGATGGAGGTGAATATAACTGCTGCTGGCCTCATATCTGGGTAATGCATCATTCAGATAACACGGAGGAGACCTAACTGGTATTAGTTCAACTGAAATCCCTCTTCCTTGATTTTTTTAAATAAAAATGTAAATTATTTGAAAAATTGAAATATAAATATATTCTGAAAGATGACATTGCTTGACAAAAGGAAGAATTGTGTAATGGTCAACTGGATTCCTCTGATAAAAGAGTACACGTTTGAGCCTCAAAAGCACGTCATGCTGCAATTTTTTAAATGTTTACTATTCGTGTCTTAGGTTTTAATATGTAACTTCTCTATCGCTTTTTAAGTTTGTTATACTGGTATTATAAAGTGGGAAATAGGAAGTGAACAAATATACCGATTTTAGGGCCACTGTTTAAGCTGTACCCTAAGTTCAATTTTTTTTTTTTCCTTTTTTGCAATTTTATCCATTTTGGACACAACTTCATACATACGCGGTTGAAGTAGCAATTCGCGTCTGAAGCTACAAATTTTGTCTGAAGTTAGGGATTTAAGAGGAACATGTCTTAAGTGCATACGAAAAAGAGTTGCATTGAAGACACATGAAGCTACAAATTTTGTCTGAAGTTAGGGATTTAAGAGGAACATGTCTTAAGTGCATACGAAAAAGAGTTGCATTGAAGACACATACGTCTTGAGTGCATTTTATTGCACTCAAGATGTTTAGGTGCGTTCAAAAAGTTACTTGCCCTTCAGACCAATTTTTGCACTTAAGACGTATGTGTAATTGTGTATGAAAGTATAGCTAACTTTTTGGATGCACTTAAGAAGTTTTTTCATCTGAAGTTCAGATACCCCAGAAATAGAAACTTGTTCTTCGAATTTCAATAATTCAACATGCGATCCAATGTTCAAATTTACTGCAAATCAGCTCGTATTTGAAACATAAGTTCCAAATATCATAAAGAACAAACCCTAGTTATCTATTTGCCAAAATAATAATAAATTTTACAAACTCATTTTGCAACTAAGAAGAAGAAGTCGAAGAAACCCTAAGCAGTAACCAAAAGAGGAGTGTTGTAGCAGTTCACTACTGTAAAACACCATAAACTATCTTAAAATCAGCTCGCAAGCACCATGTAAAATTGATGTCAGCCTCTATTTTCGCAGCAACTAAGAAGGAGGAGGAGGAGGTAAAACAGAGAAGAAGCATCTTATCTGAAGTTATTTGTACTTGCGTACCAGTTAATTTTTTTAAAAGTGGGTATAAGTTAAATGAGGGTGCCCCGTGATTTTACAAGGGAAAAGGGTCATATATACCCCTCTATATTCGTAAATAGTTTACATTTAACCTCCGTTATACTATTCGAACAAAAATACCCTTATTTTTTGTAAACTTATCGCATATGCCCTTTACCCTAACAGATGTCCCTAATCACCTTTTAAAATGACATATGGATGTCACGTGTGTATTTATTTTCCCATCTTTTATTAGAATAGATAACCAAACCCACTAAATTAATGGGGGGG